AAACTAAAGAGTTTTATGAAAAAGGAAAATGATACTACTGAAAAATGTCAAAAGGTCACCAATAATAATGGACATAATAATTGGCGCCATGTATTATTTCCATTATGTTTGGACTTATCTTAGATCAGGAGAAAATGATGATATTATGATGTGGCAAGGTTTACCCTATGGTTTATTATGGTATGTTTTCATATTGGCAGCATTTCAAGTACATTTTTTTTCCATATATTTTGCATGGAATTTAAGAAATGCTTGGAAAACAAGAGGATCCCATAAGAAATCCGGTAATTTTAATATTTCAGGACCTGGAAGTATCGTTTAACCTCAACACGGATCTCTTCCTCCCACGACCGTACGACCTGGAACAACGACGGCCGTACTCCAGCCCGGTCAAACGCCGGCCAAACAAAATCGAGTCACTGCAATACCTAAACCCATGGGATTAGATCCTCTCACAATTCTTCAAGAAAGAGAAAACAGGTAAAATTGGCATTATTAGCTGTTAGAATTTTTATCACGTGACATTTCGTGACGATTAACATTTTGCTTTGCATCAACTTTGTAGGAAAGCAACTCGGATCGCAATGAGAATCGACGTACTTAACAATTTACCAACTTCGAAAGAAACTGCCGTTAATGTAAAAGCATACAAACGAACCAAACGTCAAGGTTTGAGAGAAGCAAGAGCAACTGAAAAACTTGAGAAACAGCAAAAATTAGAAGCGGAAAGAAAGGTAATCAATCATTGACCTAATGACCTCTAAGAAAATATTTAACAGGATAGAAGATGGAAAAGTAAGCTGGGGGGAGGAGGTGGAGGGAAATGGAAAAAAAGGGGGGCTAAGTTTCATTCTGACTCTTGTCATTGTTGTTTCAGTATTCGGATTTTGACAATTTGGAAAAGGATTTTACTCAAATGTGTAAAAATCCTCAAATATTCAACGAAGAACCTTCTCTCGTACACGAAGATTCGATCGTACTTCAATCCGTGTTTACGAACGCGAGACAAAGATTGGAACAGGATGCGGAAACGGATGAGGATAAAGGTGATGATGAGAGAATCCCGTCGTTCGGATTTTATTATTTGTCGAATTTTATTTATTTTGATTTTTTAAATTTTCAGACGGTGGACGACGAGGATGGAAATTCCGAATCGGAATCCGTTAGAATGAAAATAAAAATAAAAAGTGGAAAAGGAGGAAGAGGAAGCACGAGAAGGAGGAAAACTCAACCAAAGTACACGAATAGCGATGACGAAGACGAAGATGATTGATTGGAAAGAAGAAAAAAGAAGACGAAGGAGGAGGAGGAGGTGGAAAAAGAAGAAACCAAAAGGAAAAGAAAAGGAAAAAGAAGAAGAAAATAGAAAAAAAAATTTTTCGGTCGAAATGATTTTCGCAGCGCACAATGCTTGGGAAATTCGAAATTATTATATAATTATAAATTGGGAAATTACATGTTGAATAATTATGGGAAAAAAAAGACATAAAAAAATTTAATTTTAATAAAAATATAATTTATTATTGTGAATTAAAATTTATTTATTTTTTTTCATCCTTAATGTACATCCAAAATGTATCAGAAAAACATGAGATCCAAAGAGGTAAAAAGTAAAATAATTCAAAAAAATTCCCGCTTAAAATAAAATGTGTGTCAGGTAAAATATACAAGGTCGACCTTGAATGCAAAAACGTGACCATGAAAATTTTCACAAAATAAAATTTTAAAACTGGTGGCCTTGTATTCAAGGTCGACCTTGGTTGAAAAATCATGACCATGAAAAATTTTACAAAATTGAAATGTAAAACCAATGGCCTTGTATTCAAGGTCGACCTACTTTAGAATAAATCGTAAACGTTGGATTTTCGCGGTCATTTTTAACTTAATTTTTAATCGAACATTTTTTTTCCGATGTATCCGTAAAACATAATATTCAAGGAGGTTTTTTAATAAAAAATAAAATGGAACAGTGGATTTTCGCTTAAAATCAGGAGTACAAAATAAAAAACAAATAATTAATAATAAAAAAAATAATTATATTACAATAAATTAGACTAAATTACAAAACTTTTGATACATACATAACTTCTTATAACTAAATCACTAAATAAAATTATTAAAAATTAATTTAATAAGTTGACATGATGTAAACGCATGTCAACTTATTCAATTTTAATTATTATTATTATTATGGTCACTCTTAAACACGACAATGCTCTTATTCGTCGGGGTTTTTAAGTATTTATCCCAGGTTTCTACTCGATTTCTTAGGGACAAATACTCGAATTTCGGTGGTGCTACTTATAATATTTTCCGAAGAATGTGGGCCGTCCCACATAGTGCGATTTCCTGGATGGTTTCTTCTTTTAGGTTCTTCATAATCCTCTTTAAATTTTCTTTTATTGAATGTGGCATGGCTCCCAATGCTCCCACGATGACCGGAATCGTTTCTGTTTTTGTTCCCCACATCCTAGCTATTTCAATTTCCAAATTTCTATATTTCAGCCTTTTGTCTGCTTCTTTGGCTGTGGTGTTTTTTTCTGCCGGCACGGATACCTCAATTAATTTACACCATTTTTCCCCATTATGCCTGAGGATGATATCCGGTTTGTTAGCTGGCACAGTTCTATCAGTGTGGATTTGTTGATCATATAGAACTGTGCATGGACCTACTGTCGTAACCGGGCTTGGAATGTGGTTGTACCACTCCTTGGGTAATCCATCCATTCCATATTCTCGGCATATACTCCAATGGAGATATTGACATAATTTCTTCTAAGATTCGGCTTTGCTATCATAAGTTGCAAGTTGCCCTTCTTCCATTATGTCGTTTTCTTTATTTTCTTTGACGATTTGTTTTGCTCTTTTCAGTACTCCTTTTTTTGTAATTTTTTCTTCCGTACTGGGGCTAAGGTAGGATCCTCATGATGGGATTCTATGTAACCTTCCGGAACCGGACGACACGGACGGGTTCGCTACTCCCGGCCGGACCGCCCGTTTCCATCACCTACGCACTCCTGCCGCTGCTCGCTCCGGGAGAAAGATCGAAGACATGAACCTGAAAATCAGAAACATTAATCCCCCCCCCCGACGACTCCGCTACGACCGAAGTTTGCCAGACTCCGATCGCTGCGAAGTACGCCGACGCAAAGCCGGCGGGAGATTCGTCCCGGCTTCGGGACGAATCTCTCCCCGACGTAATCCTGAAAGAGATCCGGAGCCCGACTCGGAGTACCGGGACGAATCCTTCTCTCCCTCGTGCCTCGGGACGCGGTACCGACCTGCCACGTCGTTCCAGCCTCCCCGCAGAGACAAAGTGAGCTTTCGGAGGCAGTGAGAAGTTCCGAGGTTGCCGGGCCGACGAAACATCCCCCGCAGTCCGTCCGCGTTTCGCCCCTGCCGCCGTCCGATTGACTCTTGCAGTCCGAAGTGCGAAAATCCGACCGGTGCGGACTCCGACGTCGTCGTCATCGTCGTATCCGTCGTCATCCCGATCTTCATCTTTTGTTCGCATCTTCTTTCTGCCGTTGGAATGAATCGCACGCACCGTCCTTAAGCATGCGAACCATCCCCCGAGAATGACGAGTTTCCGGACGACGAGTCAATCCCCCGCGAAAGGTTCGGTTCATCCCACGCAAGAAGATCTCCCCGCCGACCTTCCGCTCGAATCCCCGTTTTCCCGGAGCAGGATGATGAAACCCTGAAAGAAAAGTGCCGAGTTCCACATTTTTCCCCCCTGGAAGCTTGGTAAGGTACAGGTCTGACTCTTCGTCTGCAATCGGGGAAATCGACTCTCAACCGCCGCGAATCGGGACACAGTCCCTAATTACCCTGTTGGCCGACGAAAACACTCGGTCGGGACCCCGAAGTGCTCCCGCCGATCGTTTTTTAAAAATGCGCAACAAGTAGGATCCGAATTACACGATCACAGTCATCTGCTGCACCCGGCCTCCAAGTAGCAGGATTACAGGAGCACGCCTCTAACTCCCGGCCCCCACTACTCCCCTGCCTCTACCTCATTTTTTTTGTGATAATAACTGCTGAAAGCGAAACATAAAAAATAAAATAGAAAAACTTTTGGATTCCGCGCGACGACGTTCGATGCGTTCTGGCGTTCGATCCGTGACAACCTAACGAAAAAATTTACAAATTTATGTATATAAATACGAACACGTTCCCGTTTTTTTTTCCCTCCCGGTTTTTCCGACCTTTTTCTCTTTTTCATGCTCTAGCTAACGATTTCCCCCAACTCTTCGCCTTTCATTTATATTTTATTGCCGAAAAGCGCTAAAAGCGTTCGTTCGGTTAGTGGCGATGACACTTTTCCGATAATAAGAAAATTAATTCTAGAAATTTCTGACTGAAATAGTGATTATGATATTACGATGCTCTTTTCTTTTTAAAATCACTTTCAAGTTCTGGAAATACTATGACGATGAGTACGATAGCCCGATATTCGGTGCGGCGATGATGATAATAATAATATTTACAAATTTAAGAGAGCTCACGTGAGGAGAGAGAGAGAGAGAGAGAGAAAACATTATTTCATATTCGCTAAATCCTAACGCTCGGTGTTTTACGGTAGTTTCAAATGGGGGGTAAAGCCCACAGAGTACACGTCTTGTCGGCGCTCGTGCTCAAAAATGAAAATTCTGTCGGATGCCATCTTCCGGAAATAACTTTGTCTTGGTGATGAGCGGTGACGACGAAGCTGGGAAGCGGCAACGTCAAATCCCCTGGAAACAAAAAAAAACCGATTAATGACGTCATCATTCATCGTTATTGTCAGGACGTTATTAATAATAATACCTTCCTTGTAAATCCGTCAAGACGAGTTTGTTATCGTATCCTCCGGTCAGCAGGTAATAAGCGCTCGGTGAAAACCTTATCGATCTTATGTCTGACGAATGAGGTTTGAAACATTGAACGTTTCTACCCCCGCGAATGTCGTACAAAACGCACGAGGAATCTTCGTGTCCGGATACCAGGAGTCGTCCGAATGGATCGACGCAAACGGCAGCAACTGGTGAGCCCTGTAATCGTAGTAAAAACAAAAATTAATTAATTTTCCGGTTGTAGATTTTTGTATTCATCAAAACAACGAACGCTAAAAATGCGTTCTTGACGGTAAAAAAATTGGCGGTCCCGGTCGGTCTCCTCTATCTGTCTTGCCCCCCATTTAGTCCTTATTACCCGTTAGGAGAAAATGCGGTCAACAAATGTCTTCTCTCTTTCATCTATTTATACCACATTTACTCAGGTGGCGGAGTTTTAGTCTAAATCCTCCTCCCGGCCGCATTCTCTGGATGCAGGCGAGCTTTCCGTCCCAATTTCCCATCCCCAGCGAAGGACCGGAGGACACTGCCGAAAGGGAATGCCGAACGTTCTGGGAGATGCGTTCTCATCTTCGAGGCGGAGACAGAACGAAGATTAGGGCGGATGTCCCTACAAGAGAATCGTGTGAAACGGCTGACGTTCTGGCTTACCGGAGAGGGGAGACTGAAATGTAGGTTCTACTCCCACAAGCGTCTCCCCAACCCTCTTCACATAAGCGATGCTATTGCGACATGCCCAGGAGTTTTAGTGGGTATGGGTTCCCGGTTAGGCTTTTCGGAGTCCCGCACTCTCTCTTCGGAGGTGTTAGTGCGTCACCGCATTTCTCCTGGGTCAACAAAAAAATGAAAAAAAAAAAAGTCACCCGTTTGCAAATTTGTGGTGACATCGCCAGACGTCGCGCCGACCCCGTTCCCGTGAAGCTCTACATTGACTCGCTCTCGGGATGCGGGGACGTCGTCTTGTACGCCGGATGATCCCTTCTTTCCAATCGTTACGAAATACTTGAGCATGGTCTTGGTCATTTTCACGGCAGGGCTCTCGGGATCTGACCCGACCTCGTCGCCGTCCTCGGATGCATACTAAAGTCTGTCAGAATTCGAACCCTCAGTCGGGATTTTGTAAGGTTCCGAAATCATCGCGATATCAAAGCCTCCGTCCTCTATCACTTGCGAGAGTAGATCTTGTACGCCCCTCTCCAATGGTTGAGATTAATTTGCATAATCCGCGCCATCCTATCACGAGCTATGCCATAGACCGTTCGGGCAAAAAAGAAACCGCCTTGCTATAATCTCCCTGTGTACTTTTCTTTTCAACATAAATTAATCAAATGTATAAATAAATTAATTAAATTTATTAATTAATATAATTTTTTATTATATTTTTTAAATTTAAAAAAACATAAGTTAAAAAAAAAAGGAATGTCACAGAATTGCCATTGACAAATTTATTTTTAAAAATTCATTCACTAATTATTAAATAAAAAAAAAAATTAAAAACAAACGAACAAACAAACAAACATTTATACATAAAATGAAAAAAAATCTCTCATCTTTTCTTTCTTATTATTATTTCTTAATTAATAATTAATTAAATAATTAAAATAAGTACAAAAGAACAATAACAACAATAACAACAACAACAACAACAGGAACAGCAGTATCATCATCATCATCATCATCAATAGCAACAACCAAACAAACGAAGAAAAGAAAAAAAAGATTTTAATTGAAATGAAAAAAAAAACTCTTTCTCTCTCTCTCTCTCTCCTTTTCTTCTTTTTCTATTGACTTTCCTTTTTTTTTATATATATATATATATATCACAACGTTTGTTTTGGTAACAATTTACATAATTTTTTTTTTTTTTTTAAATTATCATCATTATTACTTAACAATAAATATTATTAATAATAATAATAATAATAATAATGGAAAAGTTATCGTTATAAAAAAAAAATTTTTTTTTTTTTTTTTGCTTTTTTTCATTTTAAAATTAAGCGAAACAAACAAACAATCAAACAAACGAATGGAAAAGAAAAAAAAATTTTTTTTTGTATCATTATTATTATTATTATTATTATTATTATTATAGAAAAACATTATATCGATTTATTTTTGTTAATTTAATTTATTTATTTAATTAAAAAAAAATCAAAATAATAATAATATCATATGTGAAAGAATTGTTGTTTCTCTCTCTCTCTGTCTTTCTATATATATAATATAATAATATATATAATATACATGGACATTTTCTTTTTTTTCCTAAACGAGACCGATGAGTATTTTCCCATAGTAAGTACGATTATATTATTATATATATATATATTAATATATCATATAAACACAATTTTTATTTTTTTTCTTTTTGGATTCCAAAAAAAAAAAAAAAAAAAATGATTGGCTGGTTCAGATTCATTCGGAAAATTTTATTTTCAATATAATAAATATAATAATAATAATAATGATAATAATGATAATAATGATAATAATAATAATAATAATAATTTAAATTATCATTAAAGAGGAGGAGTAAAAAAAAAAAAAAAAATTTTTTTTTTCTTAACAATATTTCATCAATTGTTTTGAACTGTTGTCGGTAAGAAAACAAATTTTTTTTTTTTTAAATTCTATTTTCATTCTATGAATGAATTAACCTTTGACCTCTTTGTTAAGAAAGGGGTTAAGAAAAAAAAATGATGAAACGATGATATTTCATCGGCTCTCGAATTATTGCAAAAAAAAAAAAAAAAAAAAAAAGAAAGAAAATTTATTTTTCTTCTCTCTCAACCGGCGGCAATCTGTAATTTCCCAAAAAAAAAAAATTATAAAGCAATAATCAATAATAATAATCGATAATAATAATCAATAATAATAATAATAATCGATAATAATTTTTTCTTCCAATGTTAAATTTTCCATCTATGAGCGGAGTGTGTTGCATGTGTTGGATTATTATATTAAAATACAAGTTATTGTTGTAAAAACCTTAAAAAAAAAAATTGGATACCTGAAAAACAAAAAAAAAAAAAAAAAAAAAAAAAAAGAAATAATAATAATAATAATAATATAAGGTACATAAAGTTAAAATGTCTACTTTTTTTTCACTACAACTTGTTTCTAATCCATGCTCACCATTCAATTGAAATAAATAATAATGAACGTTTTGAAATATAATAATGATTAATAATGATTAGTTTAAAACTAATAGGAATTTTTTAAGTCAGGTCATGTCCACTCCCAATAGGAGGCGACACCTTTCGTAAACGACGTAACTAATTGAAACCGCAGGTATGACTTTGAGAAAATTCGGCGCTATCCCCCTATACAATCCCATGAATCCCTCTTTTTGTATTATCGTTTTGAATACCGTGCTCATCTTGCAATTTTTCTGATCTTCTGCCGTCGTGACAACTACCGGAAAACAAAAAAAACATTTAAAAATTTATAAATAAACAAAAGAGACGGGGGGCGAACTCCCCCCGCCGACTAGGGGGCGCCGGGACCACGTATAAAAATAATATACGTGATTCGCATGCAACCATTCGTAAAATAGACCTTCGCCATTGAAATTTTTGGCAATGTTTTGCTGTTGCTGCTGCTGCCGGTTTTCGCACGAAAATAAATCATTCCCGATTTAAAACAAATAATAATAATAATAATAATAATAATAATGTTACCTTTGGCTTGTAATCTCGTTCTTACGAGAGCGAGAGGATAACTGCACACTTGTCCGCATATCGTGCTTATAGTTCCGCAAGCTAATAACAATGCCACGGCCGGCTGTTCGTCCGATCCTCCGTGTTTGCTTATGTACGTGTTCTTAAGTGTTTCGTAAACTGCGAGATCAATTCCCGCATAAGGTATGATACCTAGTAAATTTGGTACGTAGCCTCTGTAAAAACATCTTAACCCTTCTCTCGCGTATATCACTTTGGCCGCGTGTATTATACTTTTGTATTCTCCGGTTTTCCTTAAAGCTAACCTCGTTTTCATAACCTGCCAACCAATGAGGGGGGAGGGGGGGTAAAATCAATAAAATATTATTTAACACGTTGTGCCATCACAAAAAGAAAAAAGTTATTCGTACTTCCAAAGGGTAAATCACTGTTTGACTTATTCCTCCCGCTATCGAACCCGCTGCAAATCTTTCTAACATGGAAAGCTCTCTCGTGTGACTCCACCTGATGGCTCTTTTCGCTTGCTCGTACGCCATGAATTTTATTGCTGATTCCGGTGCTATTTTTAAAACGTTTATTCCGTTACCACGCCAAAGTGATTGAATCCCACCTTCTCTCAGCATTCCGCTAAGGCAATCTTTGATGCTCATTTTTTTAAACGATCCGTGAACCTGAAATAAAAAATGTTTGATTATCGCGTCATCATCACTCCCTCCTCCCCCCCCCCCTTGTGTAAACGTCATCATTATCATGACTCACTTGTAAGTAAACTTTTATTCTATCCAACGGAGCCGTGCAAGACCTTGAAACTCCACCGGCGATTCCTCCGGCTACCAAATGACGCCACCACATTCCCGTCATCATCTCTTTGGCGGTAAAGTCATCGGGAACGTTTAAATCTTCTCCAATGTCAAGGTACTATAATCAACGTGAAACAAAAAAAAAACATATTTTAAAAATTTCATAAAAATACACAATACAAAAAAAAAAAAAAAAAAAAAAAAAAAAAAAAAACTTAAGGAAACGTGGGTAAAAAACGTGGGAAAAAAATGTTGAAAATGAAAAATGAAAATTTTTTTTTTTTTTTTTTTTTTTTTTAAAAACACAAACTTACGGTTTTACAGGTTTCGCGATCGAGATCTGGACTGGGTACCAAGAAACTCGAAAAGAATTCATGGGATGTAGAAAAATTTATTATTTTATTCTAAATAATAGAAAACAAAAGAAAGAATCTCAACTAGAACCGAATTTTTTATTTATTTATTTATTTTATTTATTTTGGTGAGAGGAAAAAATAATTATAAAACTAATATATTAGTTGACTTGGCCCTACTAATAATGTAGAGATGACTAATCGACATTTAAGACGGTCGCGAAAAATGAATGAATGAATGAATGAATTTTTTTTTTCTAATACCTCCAAGTTTTTAAATAATTCTCTCTATCTAGAGAAAATTTTTTTAACAAGTCACAGCGAAACGTCACAGCGTTACAGCATTACTAAACAAAAAAAAAAAATGTCGAAGAAGGGAATCACACAAAATGCCACAGAAAACAAAATCGAAAAAAATAAGCCAAAGGCTTCAATTTAAAGTTTAAGGTCAAGATTTCGATTGAAAAAAAAAAACGAAAAAAAAAAAAAAAACTCAAAAGGTATTATTATTATTATTATTATTAACTACAGAGGACACGTAGAAAAAAATTTTCAAATTCTGACGTCACAGGGCAATTTACGACAAAGCATAGGATATGATCGTTAATAATGTCATCGCGATTCGCAGACAATTTTTTTTGTTATTTTTTGTTTACTCGGGAGAAATGCATTTCGCACTGACTTCCCCCCCCCAGCGGGTAGCAGGGAGGGAGAGGGTGGGACTCACTAGCCGAAGCCACTACCCAACTAAAACTCTTTCCCGGAGGGAGGGGCGTTCCCCTCCCCTAACGTTTAACGCGGAAGTACAACCTACATTTCAGCCCAACCCCCTCCTAAGCCAGTACCATCGGGAGGTTCATACTCGCGAAAGTGGGAAGATTCCACCTGAGGAGGATCCCGGTACGTCCCCTTTTTACCCTTCGACAGATACCGACCCCCCATTCCCCCGACCTGATACCATCGTTCCTGCCTCTTCCGCAAAGTCTGCGAGTTTCCCGAGAGGCATCATTTTTTTTTTTTTTTAAATATTCTAGAATACTCGATACCTGGTAAATTATAACTTTCAATTCTACCTCCTTCCCCCCTCTCTCTCTCTCTCTCTTTACGCCTATCAACACATTACGACCCTCTTAGAAACACGTTCGGTTTTCAACAACCAAAAAAAAATTTTCGATTAATCGTACCTTGAGTATCACGTGGTCGTCGTGAAAAAAAAAAAACAGTTCTGGAGTTTTACATACAAAATTCAAAAATAAAAAAAGAAATAAAATAACCGGAAAGGGAAACAATTATTTGGGAGGGGTGGAGGGCGGGGGAGCGGAAAGGTTAACAAACTTTTAAAATAAAATAATTTTCAACGCGTTGCGTTTTCCCTCGCGTTAACCGAGAGGGCGTTCGTGTGAAAAACTTTCGAACGGGAGAACTTTTAAAGGTTTACCCGAGTCCGACCCAAAATCCAAAAAAATTTTTTTTTTTTTTAGGACGCCGATATCGATTTTCTCCAGCTTCAAGGTCGAATAAGTCGCCCGACGCAATATGTCGGAGAAACGTTGAGATTTTTCGAGAAAATTTTCGTCACATCCACCCCTTATTATTATTTTTTTACCGGTGGAGAGAGCGGGGAGGGAAGGGAAAAGCGGGGAGCGGGGGAAAATTAATCGAATTGATTTTTTTTTTCTTACCCCTTATTGACTGGAAAAAATTTCATTTTTTCTTTATTTTTCCGATCCATTCGAATAAAACGATGGACGATGACGTAAAAAAAAAAATTTTTTTTTTGTTATTTACAGTTACTTACGTCCCGATTAATAGAATAAAGGTTATCGTTTCCTTCATCCATTTTTCATAACTGTAAATTTATTATAACTTTTGTTATTACATAATAATAATAATAAATAAAACTCTTGTGAGAAACGTCGACCGTGAAAAACATAACCGAGAGTACGAATAATAATAATAATCAAAAATTATTAATAATAATAATAATCACTCAGTCGTTTGTTGTTTTTACGGGAAAAAAAAAATTTTTTTAACCCGACGATTTTGTCGAAAAATTTTATCGGTAACCCCCCCGCGAAAAAAAAAAAAAAAAAAAAAACTCGAATATCCGATTCCGTTCGGTCCGATCCGATACGTTCGAAAGGAAACCGTCGCCGGTGTTTTCGAATTTTTCACTCGCACTCTTGCGCATGACTTTTTTTTTTTTTTTTTTTTTTTTTCCTTTGAAAATTCAAAATGGCGAACTTTAATCTCTTTTACGAATTCGCCGACATGCTCTCACACGTGTACTCGAACCTTAGCCGACAAAAATATTCCCAACAGCATCATCATCATCATTATCATTATCAATCTCTTTTTTTTTCCGCGCCCGGAAACATTCCCCCCCGTCCGTCCGTCCGTCCGTCCGTTACCCACTCGCTGACTTCGATAAGAAAATAAAGAGAAAAAAAAAATATCGGTACGATAATGGTGATGTAGTTAATGATAATGATAATAATAATTATTATTATTATTATTATTATTATTATTATTATGCGAATGCGTCAAAGTTCAAACGAATTATCAAAAGGAGCGAGCGATTTTTCATAATTGTTTGATAATTGAAATTATGGCAAACAATAATTTATTACAATTATCGTCATATTGTCGTCGTTGTCGTTGTCGTCGTAAATATTTGTCAGTTTTAATGTGGCAACGTACGATGACGGTATCGACTATCGAATCCACACGTTCGTCATTTTTTCTTTTTTTTTTTTTTTTTCCCCCTTTGGTTAAATTCAATAAGAAAGTAAATCTCACCGAAGAAATCAATGGAATGCGTATGTATGCGTGTGTGAAAGAGAGAGACAGGGAGAGAGGGGGAAAATCTATGGTTCGTAACGACCGTAACCTGGTTATAAAAAAAAAAAAAAAAAAAAAAAAAAAAAAAAAACTTTCCCTTTGCTCAAGGCGAAAATTTCATTGCATTGTAATTTTCTTATGTTTGCCTGTTCTTACCCTGTTAAAAATTCTGATGAGGAAAAAAGTTGCCGTGAAAATTTCATATCCTCTTGGCCGCAAATCTTCTTCAATGTTAATTATAACGAACGATTTCATTTTTTTTTTTTTTTTTTTTACCATTTACCTAAACCTTTTTTTTTGAAAATTAACGAAAAAGACAAAAAAAAAAAAAAATCATAACAAAAAAGGCACAAAAAGAGAGAGAGAGAGAGAGATAGAAAAACTTGCTTTCTTTTTATCGTACGCGGGGAGGAGAGATAAAGAGAGAGAGAGAGAGAGAGAGAGAGAGATAGAGAAAATCAAATTTATTTGAACGCGGAAAAGCCCAAAGGCGGCAGGCAACAGGTTACAAAGAAAAACTTAAAAATTGACGACCGACCGACTGACAAAAATGGACGACGATGACGAAGACGATGACGTCATTGTCGATTATGTACAAAAAAAACTAATTTCAAGGTAAACCGTAAAATTTCGTAAGAATGAAATCCCGTTTTTTTTTTTTTTTTTTTTTTTTTTTTCGCGGGCCTCATTCCGTGTTATCACACATCGCCGGGGAGTTTTATCAGACACCATCATCACCATCGTCGACGCGAACGTCACGTGATCGCGAATTAAATCTGGAGAAAATGCATTGATGGATTTCTTTTTCTAATTTCGAAATTCAATGGACGCGAAACTAAATTTTTATTGCTTTCACTTTCACGTTCATTTTGTCGTTATTATGTAACGTCATCGTCATCATCTAAATAATAATCGTTTTCGAATTGATCTTCTCAATAATTAAAAAACAATCCTCGAATGAAATAAAACTTTAAATTCTGGAGAAAGTGAGAGAGAGAGAGAGAGAGAAAGAAAAAAAAAACTCGAACATTTTCTCGCGGAGAAAACGAAACGCGAAATTATGCTACCAATTAATTGCAAAAAAACGTTGCAAAACTATTTGAAAAAAAAAAACTCATTCCATTTCGAAATTTCTAGACTTTTCCATTTTTCGCACGACGAATCATTGCAAAAATAATTATATTACGCATCGTTCGCGCTCTCACATTGTTGTAAAGGTACGTTTCAAATTCTGCTTCCACGTCCTTTCGTTCATTGCCGCCTTTCGAAATTTCAATGACTAACGAACGGTATTAACCGTTACCGTCCGGTTTTTTTTTTTCAATCATTGTCATTGATTGACTTTTTAAAATTCATTTTCATTGAAATTCTAAGAGAGAAATTGAAGGTCTCGTAATAACCTTTATAATTGCAAAATTTAGTTACGCCCCTGTTTGAATTCCTATACCTACGCGAAAAAAAAAAATCTTTGTTAACCTAACAGTGCCTGTCGTCGACATCTGAGACATTTTGCCATCAACAAGCTCGAGAATTAATTACATGACATGATTCAAAAACATTCGAATGATTCCTACAAATCTCTTTCTCTCTTCTTCATCCGCCATCTTTAAAAAATTCAACAGCGTCTTTTAGTCGAAATGATACTTCCCTCCAGGATTTTTTTATTATAACGGAAACGGAAAAGATCGCGAGGTGTAAGAAAAAAAAAAGAAAGCAAGTTTTTCTTCCACGTCAAAATACATCAATTTTTAAAATTTTTTACCTTTGAACCCGAAAATTCAAAAAAAAAAAAAAAAAAAAAAAAAAAGGGGGGGGGGAACAAGAATAAGGCAACAAAAAACAAAAAAACAAACACAAAACACGACGACTACGAAAAACAACCGACAACCGACAACAACCGTACTAGTTTAAACGACACAACAATTTAATTTAATTTAATTTTTTTTATGAACGTAAATCAAACAAAACTAAACTCTCACGAAACGATTTGTGATTGAAATTAAACGAATCAAATCCGTATAACAAACCGGCATAATAATCCGACATTTTCAAAAAAACCGAAAAAAAAAAAAAAAGTTTAAATAAATTGATTCGCGTTCGTTACGTTTAGTTAAGATATATATTTAACATTCACGTGAGTCGTCCGAACCGCGTTTCGGAACAGACTGACTGACTGGCTGACTTGAAAATTTTCATATCGTTCCCGTATAGAATGTGGTCGAAGCCTACGCTAGTCTTATTATTATTACGATTGAGCAGCTCCTTCCTTCTTTTCAATAACTTTTCGTTTCTTTTTCCCCGTGTGTGTGTGTGTGTTAAACCACCAAGGATGAGGGTAAAATCAAGGATAACAATAATGGACCCCGCATAATTCCCTGATACCTAAATATAAAATTCGCGAGACGAGAAAGGAGGAAAACGAAAGACCTCAGGCACACGCCATTTTCTTTTTTTTTTTTTTTCTAGAAATTTCATTTAAGCCTTTTTAAAATTCGTTTACATACACACACACACACACACACACACACACTAGTCACTGATAAAAGTTCAATAGAATTTACACGTCATGATTTTAATCAACAAATAATAATAATAATAATAATTAGGTTGATATTTGAAATTATTAATTAAACGATTTTGATATATCCAATGGGGGGAGGGGGGGGGGTGAAAAAGCGTGACGAAAACTTTTACGAGGCAATTTGTCGCGAAGAATTTACAAAAAAAAAATTGTTTTTTTTTTTCTTTTTCTTTTCTAGAATGAATGGCACGACTTTTTACTTAAATGAACTCTTATTACAATTGTTATTCCCTTTTTTTTTTTTTTTTTTTTTTTTTTTTTTACATGTGATGAGTTTCGAATCGATACAATAAAATTTAAATAATATGTTTAACATATTTTAAATTTGAATGTTACAAAAAAAAATTTATAAAGCATTTCTAACAAACGTGACGAATCAAAGGTCATAGAAAAAAAAAACATAATAATAATAATAATAATAATAATAATAATAATAATAATAAAGTTTGAAATGAAGTGCAAAAATAATAATAATAATAATAATAATATGATTTCTAAATTTATAATGTTAACGTTTCAAACCTGCGACAAACCTCCAGATATAATTCATTCACGTTTTTTTTTTTTTTTGCAAAATTTTAGAAATTAGAAGGACGAAAAAAAATGTGATTAGAGAAAAAATCAAAGCGACGACCATATTTATAAATAATAATAATAATAATAATAATAATAATAATAGCTATGTACATTTAAAATGGGAAATGAAAACGATTGCCAAGTTTTCAACTCGCGGTGCATCGACCAAGAATTTTGGCTTCTTTTTCAGAAATAGAAGAAAGTCAAGGCATAAAACAACATTTTTTTAAAATTAAAACAATACAATACATAATTATCGAAAAATTATTTTTAGATGGGGGGGGGGGTAAAGAGAGATAGAGAAAGAACGACCACGATAAAGTTTGAATCGATTTGAATTTTTAATCAACAGAATAAAAAAAAATTTCTCAATTTTCTCGCTCTGGTAATTTACTCAAAATTAAATTAATAAATAATGAAATTAAAAAAAAAAATAAATAAAAGTTTATCGACAACGACAACGACGACGACGACGACGACGACGCAGCAGATTTATATAAATGATTAAAAAACAACGCAAACAAGGAATAAAGTCAAATGTTGCGACATTAATGACCACCAACTTGGTAATAAACAAACAAGTTACTTATAACTATTAAACCCGAAAAAATGGAATTATAGTAAAGAAATTTTTAAATATAATTTCATGTCAACTTACCGCTGAAGAATGCCTCCAATATTTAATAAGTTCTTGTATGTCGTGACTAGGTGCATAAAATAAAAAATCTCTCCATTCATTATAGCTAATATTTAAACTTCCATCCGTGTCCATTCTAGAAAGAAAGAAAAAGAATTTATATTATCGATAAATGAAAAAAATATGTTTTTCTCTTTCTCTGATTGTTTCACTCGTACTCATTACAAATTAATAAAAAAAATTTTTCATTTAACAATTAACTGTTAATATTTATCAATAAAAACAAAAAAAACTTTATATTAATAATAATAATAATACTAATTGTATTATTAGGTATTAAAGACTTAATAAATAATTAGCGATAAAAAAAAAAAAAAAATTAAAATTAAATCAATCAATCTTATATTCTTGCTCACCGATATAATAATAAACGATTTAAATATTAGCCGAGTAGAAACTTAATGAATTCATGCAGTAACTGAAGTAAATATATTAAAAGAAAGAATTTGAAAAATGAAAAAGAGAAAATACTTGTAATAATAATAATAATAAAATTGTATAAATGAATTTAATTTGAATTTAAAAGTACCTTTGAACTAATTTAAGAGCTTCGCTTTCATCGATTTCAATTCCGAGTTCTTTAAATGCTTTGGTTAATTCTTCAATATCTAATTTACCATCTCTATTTTTATCGAATGTTGTAAAAACCAATTTTAAATTTTTTTCATGTTCTTTAACATATATAATAAAATCTTCTAATGAAATGTGCCCAATGTTATTCTGATCTGATCTTTCTAGAAATTTCTGTAAAGAAAAAAATATACAAGTCGCATATTTATACATGTACATATAAATCGATTATAAGTATTTGACCTAATAATTTTTATCAATCGTCCATGTGATAAGACTATTTATTTTCATGTATTTCATTAAAAAGAAAATCACAAAATTATTTTTTTGGGCACTTTTACCAAATTTATAAATTTATATTTATATAATAAAACAGTGCATAATTAAATTAATTATATATATATATATTTAAAGGCTTATAATAATTATCGATATTTAAAATAGATCTGGATTGGGTCCAAGTGTGAACGAAGACTCGTTGTGTTAGCTTTTGTATAACAATAAAAAAGGGAATCAGATAAAATGAAGTGAAGTTTAAGATAGTATAAATTAAAATTTACATGTCTCCATTTTGAATTTGATGATAATAATAACTTATTTTATGGATTAGTTGGAAAAAAACTCGATGAGAATAGTCAAAATGAATGGTCATATTGAATATTTATAACAAGATTGGAAAGAAAAATATGAAAAATGTAGATTTTTCTTTTTACCTTAGCATACATCGGGCTGACACCACTTTCTTTTAACGATACCGATAAATCGTGTATATCAATTTTTCCATTACCATCTAAATCTAAAGTTTTAAACAATTTTTCTATTCTTTCTTCATCTTCTTCTGTTAAATCGTGAACAGGAGGAGATTGTGACCTGGTTGGATCAGATTTTTTAGAAACCCAATTTCCCGAACAATTTAACATTGTTTACAAATTAAAATAATAATTTGGTTAAGGTAACAAAAATCGAAATAATAAAAAACCGTTAAAGCACCCGCGCCGATCACATATTTCTTTTTTTTTAATTATTAAAGCCAAAGTTAACTTTCCAATTTCATAAATCAAAATCAATTGGTCTCATTACCAACTTTAGACCTTGGAGTAGTACATGCTCAGAACATAAACAACAACGTTCACCGCCTTCTAAAAAAAAAAATCCGCGAAATTATTTCCGGTAATATAAAAGGTGAAAAAATTATCATTATTTGTTAAAATGTTAAACGTTTTTTATATTTAAAAATGAAAATTATTATGAATTGAGTGGGGAAAAGAATCACAATTAATTAAAATTCTAAAAGAAATGGAGACGGGTAATTAAAAAAATAATTTTTCTTGTCGAAAATAATGGTTAAACATGCAAAGGCATTCATATAACGAAACGTTTATAACGATTTTTTTTACTTTAAAATGTTTTTTTTTTTTTTTTTTTGGAAAATTATTAATTTTTAATAATTATTCGAGTTATTTAAAATTAATAAATGAGCGTAAGGGCGAAACATAAGCTAAATGAAATTTTATATTTTATGAATGCGAGCGTAAAAAAAAAAAAAAAAAAAAAAAAGTTTTGAAACATTAAAATAAATATAGGGTCTATGACTTTTAAAAAGTTTGACATCAACTTTTTAGTTGCATTACTTTTTTTTTTTTTTTTTTTTTTTTTTTTTTTTAAAAAAAGGTATTATTTTCGTTTTTTTTTTTTTTTTTTTTTTTTTTTTTCCCCCCCCCCCTAACCCACCGGAACCCCAAAAATTTTAAAAAAAAAAAATTTTTAATTTGTTTTGTTTTGTTTTTTTTTTGGGGGGGTTTAAAAAGGGGGGGGTTGGGAAAAATTTGTTAAACAAAAATTAAAAGGGGGGGAATTTTGGGAACATTAACGGAAATTGGGGGCCCCAACGGGTGAAGTTGGTTTCCGGGACCCCCGGAAAAAAAAAAGCGGGAGGGGTCAAAATTTTAAAGAAAAAAAAAACCGAAAAAAATTTTTTGTT